GTCTATAAATGGCTGCTCTGGGACTGTCTGTCTTATGCAGTTGAGATAAGGACTGAGATACGCCCTAGTCTCCTGCAGTACCCTCAGGCTTACCAGGGTGGGGAAAAACTGTCCTGGTAAATTTGAGGTCAGACCAGTTCTCTGCTCTCGAACTCTGTTGTCTGTTATTTAAGATGTTTATCAAGACAATATGCGCACTGCTGAGCACAGACCCTTATCAGTAGTTCTGCTTTTCCCCTTTGCCTTGTGATCTTTGTTGGACCCTTATTAGTAGTTCTGCTTTTTGCCCTTTGAAGCCTGTGATCTTTGTGCCTACTCCCTGTTCTTACACACCTCCCCTTTTGAAACCCTTAATAAAAAACTTGCTTTTGAGGCTCAGGTGGGCATCACAGTCCTACTGATATGTGATGTCACCCCCATTGGCTCAGCTATAAAATTCCTCTCTTTGCACTCTTTTTCTTTATTTCTCAGCCAGCTGACATTTATGGAAAATAGAAAGAACCTACGTTGAAATATTGGGAGCGGGTTACTCCAATACTCTAAGGTCTCTGCAAATGCGTTTTATGTATGCCACATTGCTTGGGTTTTAAATTAGATCATCTTAGTCATGTCTCCCAAATTTGGTTTTAAAATATCCTTCCACGTGTTTTCTAGTGGTGTAGTATTAGATAAAACCAAAATCAAAATTTTATTTTATTGATATGGGTAATGCTCTCCATTCATACATTATAGCCCTGGTCCCTCAGTCACTATGTTCCACATTTTGGCACTATTTAAAAAAAAACTCTTATTTTCTTCCGTTGAATATCCAATCAGGTGCCATGTTCTATAGTTTTTATTTTTAAAATTGTTGTTACATTTGATCACTCGTTTCTAATCTCAAGGTCACATTCTCCCATCTTTCTTCTTCAGGTCTTTGTAATTACTCCACTACCTGGATTATTGCAATCTCCTTCCAACAGGATTCTCTCTCACACCTGTCCTCTGGACAGTCAGTTCTCTATGCTGTTGCCAGATCCATGTCGCCAAAGCAGAACTCTGTTGTCTTCACTCTTGGCATTTACAGAGGCCTTCCTCAATGTGCCTCAAGCCAAAGGTCTGGTCTAATTACCATTATTCCTCTTGGTGTAGGCTGGCAAACTGAAACATTCACTGTCCCTGCAACATGCCCTGCATTTTCTCATCTTAATGCTTTGGTTCGTGTTGTTAGGAAAGTGCTTTTACCCACCCCAACCTCAATCTCTGCCAGTCAAGAAATATTACCCATCCTTTATATGCGACATCCATAATTAAACTTTTCTTGATTCTTTCCAAAGATGTACTCTCTGCTAGTTTTTGTTGTTATTGTTGTTGTTGTTGTTGTTGTTGTTTGAGATGGAATCTCGCTCTGTCACCCAGGCTGGAGTGCAGTGGCCCGATCTCGGCTCACTGCAACCTCCGCCTCCCAGGTTCAAGTGACTCTCCTGCATCAGCCTCCCAAGTAGCTGGGACTACAGATGCGTGCCACCATGCCTGGCTAATTTTTTGTAATTTTAGTAGAGACAGGCTTACACTATGTTAGCCAGGATGGTCTCGATCTCCTGACCTCGTGATCTGCCCGCCTCTGCCTCCCAGTGGTGGGATTACAGGCATGAGCCGCCATGCCCAGCTTCTCTCTCCTAGTTTTAACCTTCCCCCTGCCTTTTATATCTGTTCATCTCTTGTGGCAAAAAGCATATTCTTCACATATTAAACTTATGTATGTATGTCTCTCTCTTACATAAACTCCTTAGATAATGAACCATAGCTCTTTGCCTACTTATCTTTATGTTTCTTTATGTTTTCTGCTTAGATCAATGTATTGTATTCCAAAGGTACTCAAAATTTAATTGAAAATTTTAAATTGAAAATTCAATTTAATTGAAATTGGCATAAATCCAATACTGACAACATATCCCAAGGAAAAAACTCAAGGGGAGTTTTTTTTAAGAGCACTATTTGTGTAAAAATATTTGCTCAGCCAGGCGCGGTGGCTCACGCCTGTAATCCCAGCACTTTTGGGAGGCCGAGGCAGGCGGATCACGAGGTCAGGAGATCAAGACCATCCTGGCTAACACAGTGAAATCCTGTCTCTATTAAAAATACAAAAAATTAGCCAGGCGTGATGGTGAGTGCCTGTAATCCCAGCTGCTGGGGGAGGCTGAGACAGGAGAATGGCATGAACTCGGGAGGCAGAGCTTGCAGTGAGCCGAGATCGCGCCACTGCACTCCAGCCTAGGTGGTAGAGAGAGACTCCATCCTCCCCAAAAAATACATATCTTTACTCAGAACAGGCATAAGTGGATAAGTTGGCAGCAGCAGCTGCACAGGGTGGGAGAAGCAGTGGTAGTGGAGGCAGTAGTGGGGCTGGCGGTGGTTCCAGGTGCGGGACAGGCAGTGGCCATAGCGGCTTGTTGGATAAGTGGAAGATAGATGATAAGCCTGTAAAAATTGACAAGTGCGATGGATTAGCTGTGAAAACCTCTTTGGATGATTCTGCCAAAAAGTTACTTCTGGAAAAATACAAATATGTGGAGAATTTTGGTCTCATTGATGGTCGCCTCACCATCTGTACAATCTCCTGTTTTTTTGCCATAGTAGCTTTGATTTGGGATTATATGCACCCCTTTCCAGAGTCCAAACCTGTTTTCGTTTTGTGCATCATATCCTATTTTGTGATGATCTGGATTCTGACCATTTATACCTCATAAAAGGGGAGGAGCATCTTTGTCGTGACCCACAGGAAAGATCCTACAGGAATGGATCCTGATGGTATTTGGCAACTGTCCTCCAGTCTTAAAAGGTCTGATGACAAATACACCTTGAAGCTGACCTTCACCAGTGGGAGAACAAAGCAGCCGCGGGAAGTCGAGTTTACCAAGTCCCCATTGCTAAGTTTGTCATGCATGTCCATGTGAAGAGACCACCAAACAGGCTTTGTGTGAGCAACAAGGCTGTTTATTTCACCTGGGTGCAGGCGGGCTGAGTCTGAAAAGAGAGTCAGCAAAGGTTGGTGGGATTATCATTAGTTCTTATAGGTTTTGGGATAGGCGGTGGAGTTAGGAGCAGTGTTTTGCAGGCAGGGGGTGGATCTCACAAAGTACATTCTCAAGGGTGTGCAGAATTACAAAGAACCTTTTTAAGGGTGGGGGAGATTACAAAGTACATTGATCAGTTAGGGTGGGGCAGGAACAAATCACAATGGTGGAATGTCATCAGTTAAAGCTATTTTCACTTCTTTTGTGGATCTTCAGTTGCTTCAGACCATCTGGATGTATACGTGCAGGACACAGGGCATATGATGGCTTAGCTTGGGCTCAGAGGCCTGATAAAGTTTTTTGACCACAGTGGGACACTGGTCATGGATGTATATGATCCTGAAATATCCAAGCTCCATGACAGTCTCGCCATAGAAAGAAAAATAAAATAGCTAATTCTAAAAGTAGCCCTCTTTCTGCTGGATCTTGCTGAATTACTGGTTTGGGAGGTGGGGGAGATAAAAATAACTCAAAATGGATAAAGTAAAAAAAGTTAAAAAGTTCCTGTTTTATCCCAAAATTTTAGTCTATTCTGGATAAATAGGATTTTCTGACACAGATATGAGAAGTTGTAGCTCTGATGTCTAGCTGTAGTCTCCTTGGTCTGCTGATTGCATTATTTTAATTTGCTTTTCTGGGAAAGCAGTTTTGCTAAAAGCTGTACAGACTTTTTCCTTTGTACCTAGCAGTACTTTATATAGTATAGTCATGTAGCATTTTAAGACTCAATTAAAAAATATATTCATCTGTTGCTGACTTTGTTAATTCCTATTTCCACATGTGTTTCCTTGAAGAATTCAGTATACGACTTCTCATGTGTGATAGCTTTCCTTCACACACTATTTTTGTGGGTGTGTATATATCTGATTTGGGGAGAATTTAAAATACACATAGCTTTTAAATTTGTTTGAAACAGACCTTCTGCCTGTTACATTTTGTGCTCCTAACCAATTAAAGAAACCAATGACATTTTAGTTTTATGTTGTGTTTTCCACTAGTATATCTCTGTTGATTTGTTTGTGCCTTTTATTAACTGCCATTGTCTAAAATTTTTTTCAATAAAAGGAAGGCAGATGTGAAAATAAATTACTCAGAACACCAATATATAATAAACAATTCAAAAATCAACAATAAGGGAGTGGTTAGATAAGTTAAGGTAGGGTTGAATCTAATTCTCCTGGGCCTTGCCCATAGGAAGTATTTAATATTTATTAAATGAATAGTATACCACCGTGTTGCAATATTAGTTAATCAGTTGCATGTGAAATCAGGTTAAAGGAAAAATAACTTTCACAAAACATAGGAATTAACATCTATAGAAAACCTATGCTGCCGGGAGCGGTGGTCCCAGCACTTTGCGAGGCGGGAGGATCGCTTGAACCCAGGAGTTCCGAGGCCAGCTTGGGCAACACAGAGACCCTAGTCTCTACAAAAACTATATTTAAAAAATTAGCTGGGCGTGATGGTGCGAACCTGTAGTTCCAGCTACTTGAGGCCAGGGAGGTCAAGGCTGCAGTGAGCCATGATCGCGCCACTGCATTCCTGCCTGGGGGACAGAGTGAGATCCTGTCTGAGAAGTGAAGGAAAGGGGAACGGTAGCGGGAAGGGGAAGGGAAAGAAAAGAAAACCTATGGAGGCACGTTAATAATCAGAAGGGGCCAGAGGAAGCCACCTGACACATTTGTGAGACAATGTGAAAGGCGTCCTCATACATTCTCACTTTGATACAACAACCCTGCAAAGTGCGCACGGAAGGTGTTATTAACTCTGTTTTACAGGTAAGGAGATCGACCCACTGAGGTCAGGAGTGAATGACCAAGGCGGAGCCAGGACTCTAGCCCTGGCCTCCTGGCCACTGGTCCCGGTCTCCTTGCCCGCCACCACTCGGCCACCGTCATTGGTGTTCAGAGTTTCGGTTCCCTTTTCTTTGATCGCATTACTTACGCAAAACGAGCCCAGACACTTGCGCTGCCAGAGAGGCACAGATGCTGGCAGGCGGCTGACCGGCGCAGCACCCTAGGCCCGGTGTCTGGCTCCAGCCCCGCATCCGGCTCGGCCCCGCATCCGGCTCTGGCCCCGCGACAAGAGAGTCCGGAAGTGCAGGCAAAGCGGCTCCCGGGAGCGCCGCGCGGTCCCGCGCGGGATCAGCGAGGGCCGCTCCCCGGCGGACTGGCGGGCAGGCGGCATGGCTGCAGTGCTGGCTTTCAGGGTGGTCGCGGGGTTGGCGGTCGCGGGGTTGGCGGCCGCAGCGCTGGTGGCCATGCTCTTGGAGCACTACGGCCTGGCGGGCCAACCCTCGCCGCTGCCGCACCCCGCGCCCCCCAGGAGGCCGCACCCGGCGCCAGGTCCTGGAGACAGCAACATCTTCTGGGGCCTGCAGGTGAAGCGGCGGGAAGCCGGGCCGGGAGGCGGGTGCAGAGCGGGCACCGTGCAGTGAGACCCTGGCGGGTGCTGGGCCCCACGCTCCAGGCTGCGGGCCTCACTCAGGTTGTAACTCGAGGCTCTGTCTAGTGCTGGCCCTGTCCCTACCTGGGGGGTTCGTTATGCACTGCCTCTTTGTCTTTTCCTTCTGCCCGCGAGAGCCGCTGAGCCGCCGCTCCCCATGCTGCCTCTTCCCGGCTCAGATCTCTGTTCAATACCTGTTTTCGGCAGATATCCGACATTCACCTGAGCAGGTTTCGAGATCCAGGCAGAGCGGTAGACTTAGAGAAATTCTGTTCTGAAACTATTGACATCATTCAACCAGCTCTCGTCCTAGCAACAGGTAGGGAGGCTTGCCGTGCTGTGGTGGTGTTCTGTGGTCCGGATGGTAGAACTCTAGCCAGGGCTGTGGCTTTTCACTTTGGGGACGTTGGGAGCAGTATAGCCACAGCCCCAGATGAGCCCTGTGAGGTGGAAGAGATTGGACATGTAACCCCTTTGCCTATGGATAACTGAATGAGTCAAGATCCAGGCAAAATGATTTGACGTAGCAAGGTTTTGTCAAAGCAGTAAAAGCAAGGCTCCTAGTTCTCATGTCCGTCTTTTGTCTCATATATTTGTATCTGGTTTCTGTTCTTGTTGTTACAGTTGTGGTTGTGAGAATTAGGGAAAAGCCTGTAACCACGAATCAGAAGTTCTCTTCTTTTGCTCACTTTTCAATTTTCTTTATATTATTAATCTTATATTTTCAGTTGTTTGAGGCTTCCGGTGACCCAGGGCACTTTTTCTTCATCCTTTAATAGTTTTATGACTTGAGTTTTGTAGACTCTTCAAACCCTTTATTTGCTTCCAAACTGTAGTGGGGAGAAGAAGCTAAAGGAGCATCTATCTGTCTTGCTTACTGGGGAATTCATCACCCATCCACCTTATTGAAGTATCTCTGCTGACATGAAAGGGTATCAGTTCTCATTTAATGGATGAACCCCCATAAAAAGTGTTCTGTTTAGTTCCCTATAAATTTTGGTATTTTGTTGTCCAGTTGCACCTGCCACATTGCTTCTTGCTATAAAACTAATACTTGGTCAAGTCACATATTCTGATTTTGTGGTTTGGAAAACATGGTTGCCGTAGATATTAGGTACCCACTCAGAGTATTGGAATTTCTTATAAAAACATTTTCATTTTATCAGAGTCTACTGATACATTTTGTACTGTTCTCTTTAAGGATTTTTTTCACAACTCATTTCTAATACCACACAGGCATTTGCTAACGTGTAAGGAACAAAGCCCTTGCTGAGAAAATCTTGTTAGTTTAGATGGCTTGATTGGACATTGGTGGTCTCATGAGCAGTTTTGCTTATACATGTTGAGTACTTTAAGTATCGTTGTTCCTTCAGTGTGCATATCTAAAAAGATGGAACCCCTAGGAGTTTGTTTTGCATTGTGATTCAATTCTTGTGTAAACCTACAGGAGACCTGACAGATGCCAAAACAAAGGAACAGTTGGGATCCAGGCAGCATGAGGTAGAATGGCAAACCTACCAGGGTATTCTGAAGAAGACAAGAGTCATGGAAAAAACCAAGTGGCTGGATATCAAAGGAAATCATGGTGAGACCCAAGAGCCAGATATAATAAAGACTAGAGTTTTTTTCCCCCTTCGGGAACCTAGATTTTCCAACTTAGATTGTAAAATTATTAAGTGGGACATTATAACATAGGTTTACATATACTAAAGGTCACAACTCTGAAATACAACTATATAATGTGGTTTTAAAACTTCAGATGTCATTGTTAGCCTTTGAGATGACAATTGGTATGGTCCTTTTTTGTGACATATGCTGCTTTTTTTATTATTATTATTATTACTATACTTTAAGTTCTGGGATACATGTGCAGAACATGCAGGTTTGTTACATAGGTATACACGTACCATGGTGGTTTGCTGCATCCATCAACCTGTCATCTACATTAGGTATTTCTCCTAATGCTATCCCTCCCCCTGCCCCCCACCCCCAAGTCCTTTCTTCTTTACATAGAAGAAACATGAGTTTTAGCAAAACTCATGCAGACAGATGTTTTAATAAATATACATTTTGCTAAGTGAAAGAAGCCAAACCCGTAAGTCTGCATACTGTATGATTTCATCTATATGACATTCAAGAAAAGGCAAAACAATAGACAGAGAACAGATTGTAGTTACCAGAGGATAGGGATTGGGAGACAGATTAACTGCAAACAGGCATCATGGAGAACTTTTGGTGATGATGGAACTAGTCTGTATTTTGGTTGTTGTGGTGGACGTCAGGTTCGCTATGTATTTGTCAAAATCCATAGAACTGTAAGTCACAGAAAAGAATGAATTTTCCTGTGTGCAAATTTAAAAAATTTTGCTTTTTATTTTTTCTTTTTAAAATTTACTATGACTATTCTTATTATCATTATTTTGTGAGACAGAGTCCCACTCTGTCACCCAGGCTAGAGTACAATAGTGCAGTCTCAGCTCACTGCAACCTTTGTCTGCTGAATTCAAGCAATTCTCCTGCCTTAACCTCCTGAGTAGCTGGGATTACAGACAGGTACCATCCTGCCCAGTTAATTTTTTTTTGGGGGGGTATTTTTAGTAGAGGCGGAGTTTCACCACATTGGCCAGGCTGGTCTCGAACTCCTGACCTCAAATGATCTGCCTGCCTCAGCCTCCTAAAGTGGTGGGATTATAGGCATGAGCCACCACACCCGCTTTATTATTATTTTTTTGACAGGGTCTTGCTTTGTCACTTAGCCTAGAGTGCAGTGGTGTGAGTATAGCTCACCGCAGCCTTGACCTGAGCTTAAATGATCCTCCCACCTCAGCACCCCCAAGTAGCTGGGACTACAAGCATGCATCACCACACCCAGCTAATTTTTGAAGGTTTTTTTTTTTGTGGATTTGGGATCTTGCTATGTTGCTCAGGCTGATCGCAAACTCCTGGGCTCAAGCGATCCTCCCACCTCATTCTCCCAAAGTGCTGGGATTACAGGTATGAGTCACTGCACCTAGCCTAAAAATTTTAAATTGCAAACAAATCTCCATAGGCATGAACAGAGAAATGAATAATCCTTTCCCTTTTTTAGATTATTGTTGTGTTGGTAAGGAAATGAACTCTTCTTTAAAAGAGTCCTGGTGGTAGTAGATTTGTTTGATTTATAAAGGTTGACTTTTTTATTAGCTAAGTACGTCATTTGTCTACTTTATTTGATCAGTAGATCAGGCATGAATCCATTTCTTGCTGGCTTTTAGAATCACATGATTAAGACAAGAGCAACTACAGTTCAATCTTATAATTTCAAACTTATTTATTCTGAATGGTATAGAAGTCAAAGTACCTGTTTTTCTCTAGTATACTAAATGCCTTAAATAAATAAGTTTCTAGATAATCTGAATTTTGTTAAGATATCAACATTTTAAAGTATCAATCTAATTGATTGACATTCTACCATTAAAAGTGTTATAGAAAGATGACAGAGGCTGCTACAGTCACGCTGTGGCTAGCTCAGTCTGTGCCAGCAGAGGCAGAGAGCTTGGGGAGGGCCAGTAGCCCCTGCTGGAGCCTCAGTTAAATCTGAATATCCCATTGTCCCAACCCTCCCACAGATGTGCACCGGGCTGTACTTTGGCTTAAGATTGCAGGTGGACATCTCCACTGCCCGGGAATCATTGAGTGTGTAGACAGGACAACCTCCATGGAAGGCTGCTCATACCAGAGTCCCGCCTTGGCATAGGCCTTGCCATTGAGGCAGCTCTACTGTCTGTGCTGGTCTGAGGGTGGGCTGCCTGTCATGGGGGCAGCCGTTTCCCAGGGGGTGCTCATTGCCATCATCTGCAACACCTCATAGGCTTCTTGCTGCTTCTGCTCCGAGTCATTCTCTGCCAGGCCTACCACTCTTGCTCTGCCAATATTGACTGTTTCTACAGATTTAGACCCAATTCCAGCCCTGGCTCCTATCCTGAAAAAGTACCACTGCCCAAGAAGCCTAGCCGTGAAGGCAGCTACCTGCTGCAGCCCTGAAGGCCACTGGCTTAGCCTGGAGCTTGGGACCTAAGTCCATCCCACCCACATCCTGAAATCAAGATTCCGGAGTTTTAGCCAGCCTAGGGTCTAGAACTTGGAGCCCAGCCTGCTTGGATTGGACCCAGCAACCCAGAGTCTAGCCATACTGGTTCTAAGAGAGGCTCAGTGGCCCTAGAGAGATGGACCATGGTGGGAGTTCATGAGCTGGTGGTGGGGCCAGGGCCATCTGGACTCTGTTCTGAGTCTACCCTTTGCCTAGGCTAAACATTTCTAGTTTGGGGAAGCAAACTGAAACCCATGGCAATAATGGGAGGTTGTCTAGGATGGGCCCCTCTCCTGGTCCTCCCACTATTTGCTGAATAATAAATGGAATGGCTCTACCCTGGGGGAGTGTGGGGGGGAATTGTTATAGAAAGAACTATTTTCCCTTAGTCATTAAAGAACATGTTTGTATTCTTTTTTTAATGTGGATGAATGTTTGCTTTTTTTTTTTTTAATTAGATGCATTCAATATTC